TCCTTCACCTATTGAATCTTGATATACAATTGCTTATAAGTTGGGTCTAGTCATTTTAATTCTGTGTAATTTTGTTGCATGCAGTTCATTTTCAGTACACCAGTAAAAATGTATTTCAGTAAGAAACATGTCACCTTGCTTTGTGACACTCCTTAATTCAGAAGTCCAAATGTTAAGCATCTGTATTTCTTATTTGGATTGTTCCTGAAAGTTTGTGTTGCAATCTTCTGTGAATATCAAAATGAAAAAGATAGCAAAACATAACAACAAACCATGAAACATACAGTACAATCACAAATAATTGCAAATCAGACTGTTCTTTCCTCATTGTTCCAACACCTTTTTATCATGAAGCATACAATGCTTTTCTCAAGCAATCTTCATGAACAGATGGATGTCTTATGTGGGTGCTGCCTGTATACTGTAGGACTAACTGCAGATTGGAGGCTGGTTTATCATCCATTCAGTAATTCTCAGTGCAGTTATCTAAAAATAAGCACTTTTTAGTGCGACCTACATTACCACCAGTAAAGGGAACCACACAGGATGGTTTGCAGTGAAAAATGCCTACGTGACACTTGCCATATACACTTTTCAGCCAGTCAGCTTGTGCTTTCTGACTGTGCTGATTTTCTTGCACAAATGTGGGGCAGAGATTCAAAACATCTTATATTATATATTCCCTCCTGTCCTTTATTGTGTAAGAAGCAGTGTCATTCATAATTCTTCAGTAAACACGGATGTATAAAGGGATGTCCAGATTTCTAAAATCTTGGGTGATATAAGTGTCAGCCTTCTGTGTGAGCATATGCATCTGGCTCTGCTGAAGCAATGCTGTTAGATATGGAAATATAGCAGGACCATTTACATATAGCAGTACATTGTTATGTTTTCTTTTCATTTAAGCTTCCTTAACCTGAATGTTTATATTTGTCCTGTGCCAAAATGCCATATTAAAATGAATTGATGCCATACCTCTTAAGGTGAATTAAGCATTTGAATTAAGAATTTGACACCTTATAATTGCTTTCTTGAATTGAGCAGCAGTTGGAGAGGTTGTCCATTAAAAGAGATAGCTGCTGATTAATTAGCTGTGTATTGTTTATGCATTAATCCTAAAATTAAAGTTGCCTTGAATCACTTAATTTAGTCACAGTAGGAGAGAAGCATTTTTTGAAAAAAAATGTGCAAATAAAAGGTAAAGAACTAAAGGAAAAGCAGTGTGATTTGTATCAACTTTCTGCACAAACACCCACATGTTTTGGATAGTTAAAATAAATGAGTTAGCATTAACCATTTGGATTAAAAGGCAGGTGTTTAATTACTGTATTTCTTGCTTAACAAAAATCTGAACTTGAGAAGTAAGCAATCTTAACAGTCTTAAATAAACAGAGAAATATTTCACCTGGCTGGCAATGAACCAAGTCTGCAGAAGATGAATATTTTGTACAGATTTTAAATGGAAATGCTGCCATGCTGATTATGTGAAAAAGGTTAGAGGAGCTAGGAAATAAAGGCAGACTGCTCTCTTTTCATCAATAGATGCATTCATTTTATTTTCTGACATCTAATTTACAGACCTAAGTCATCCAAGCAATTAATGATTTAATATTTGTCCATTTAAATTCTGATTACTAGTCTAATTAAGGTTCTTTTACTGTAAGAAAAATGGCAGTAGTTCATTATATTTAAAAAGCCTTAATTAAGGACTGCACAATTAGGATGGATTTCAAAAGCTCTGTATTGTATGCAGTCCTTTGTAATTTTTAAAGTATTACTAATGTGCACTTCTTTCTTATATCCTTTCCATCCCTATGTATGCAGAACTCTATTTAAGTAGGCTTTCCCTGTAATTCATATACACTATAAAGAGCAACTTTCACTCATTGACACAGGCATTTCATGCTGGGCTCTAATTGGCTAATCCTGATAGTTTCACTTGTCTCTTCTGTTGTTAGATCAGGGTGAACTGACTAACTTTGGTTCCCAAGGAAACTAAAGGAGGATTCTATCAAAATTGGAGGTCATTCTGCTTGGAGCTTTAGGTTTTTCAATTATTTAATCTATTTTTTAGTTTTGAATGAAAACAATTTCCCTTACAAAAATAAAAATCTCAGAGGATCTTCTGAGACATCAGAAAGTTTGTGTAAATATACATTGAAAAATGTAATGGCCAATGGTCCATAAGAATTAAGGACATGGGCAGTATTTCAAAATACTGTTTAGTCTCCTGCTACTGTGGAAGAATACTGCATTTACTGCAGGCCCAATAACAATACGGCATAATTCTCGGAAGCTCTCCCGAGCTAAACCACAAACCTGATAAATGCGGAGGTGTACTTCAAGTTCTTCTCCCGGCTTCCCCAAGGGCAGTGGCCAGTACAAATCTTTAGTGGGCGAGTGTTTCATACAAATTGTATTTCTGTAAAAGACGTGAAAGCTTTCATACTCTAGTTCTTAACTGTTTGATTCCAAGTGATAGTTAAAAACTGCGTACCATCAACATACGTTTTTTAAGGATATTTAAATTTGCCAAAGAATATGCCAAAGAGAAAGTTATTTTTAGTCCAAATGTTTCACGTCTGTATTTTGTCCATAACATTTTTTATTTTTGACAAAAACCACTATCTTTCAAATAAATGTAAAGTTATTTGTAATATTGATATCATATGCTCATGAATTAAACAATATTATAAGGATTGGTGCCATAAAATGTTGGTGTTATTGTTTCTGCCAAAAAAAAAGCCAATATTGCCAAGGGGGAAGCTGATACCCAATGACTGTATATTTAACTGTTCATTTGGTGTTTCATTTTTCATGTGTTTCTTATGGTTCAGCTTTACATTTTGTGATATTTTGTTAAATATGTAAAAATTCTAGAATGTTATTGAAACATTAAAAATGTATTGGAAATACTGCGTTACTGTGGTAAGACTAGTAGAAGATCTTGAGGCTTGGAGCAAACCAAGCCAAAGCTGGGCAAGAGAGAAACTGCACAGGCAACACACTCGAGCAAGAAACTGCACAGTGTTGTGTGCACATGGAGATCCGGCTGAGGTGCATTAAGGGGAACTGCTCAGGCACTTATGCTCTGCATGCAGGTGGTGTGGGGCTCTAGTGCTGTGGTGAGCGCAGACAGACAGCTGCGGCAACAGGATTAGAAATCTGGGTATGAGCACAGTCCAAGATCATGGTCAAACACCCAGGCATCAAAGCTGGTAAAAGCAAGCTAAGCAGAGTCCAAAGCACCAAGGGAAAATCTGGGAGACAAGGTCGAAGCAACACAGGTTTCAAACTGACATATGCCCTGTCGGGAAACAAAGCCAATACACATACTGTAGTACAGCATTACTGCCTTTATTTCACAGGTGCTCCTGTGCAAGTAAATTCTCAAAAGCTCCAGACTGCTAATTTTAGACTTTTGAGACATCTTTGTTCTATAACTTCATCTGGGTTCAGTTTTGCAGAGGCAACAACTTACCTTCTGGATTTGACCACTGAAAGGTTTGCAGCTAGGTTGAAAACAAATCTAAAATCGGCAAGTGGGTTAATGTAATCTGTGAAATCTCAGTCTGTTGTCCAGGTTCTATACAAAAAAAGCATTTTCACAATCCAGACAAGCACATCTTCAGTGCTAGACTAGACTTTAAATTGGTGCATAGAAGGAGATGAGGTTCTAAAGGTTTACAGCTGATAACCTTTTTAAAACTCTTGAGCTTCTTCAGAGTGGAGAAAGCAATGCCAACCTATATGGTACAGTAGGTAATGTCTTTATAGAGGATAAATGCAATAGGTTTGGTATTGTCATTCAATGCACATGTACACTTCTAAAGTTGAAAGGGAAGCTGAAGTACAGTACATGTGTTTTTAGTAGACTTGTAAGTGAATTCTGTGTTGGCAACATCAGGACTAGAAAGATTTGTTACACAAGGGAAACTTGCATCCCTTGTTAATTGAAAAAAGTGTTTAGAATAAAAAAGGGGTGACCAGTTCCCAGATTTTGTTACTTTATTTTCTGTCTCATAATAAAATTAACTTCCCATCTACTTCCAGACAATTTACAGTAGATCTCGAAAGGACTTCATCTTCTTTGCATCAACATTTCACCAACCTTAATAAAAACCTTTTTTGATAATCAGTATTAATAAAACTGAACCTTTTAAGTCTTAAACAGATCCTCGAAGATGCTGACCAATTCAATGCTGTGGACTTTACAACAAAAAAAAAAACTAGGAACAGAGGACAGAACTTTATTTTTTCTTGAAGTTACAAAAATGTAACATCACTTTTGGATTAAATATTTCACTTTCGCTTCGCATTAAATCCATTTAATCATGATTTGTCTTCACTCTTTTTCTGTGTTCAGAAGAAGTGAAAATAGTTGTAGCAGCCAGTTTTAGTTGTCATAAAAGCAGTAGCGGTATATTACTGTTGATATTTTGCTAATAGTTTTAATCTGTATGACATTTCTAATCCAGCGCTATTTACATAAATTACAATTACTATTATATTGCTGTCTGCTTTTGATAGAGCAATTTACTGTAGCTATAGTACTGTAGCAATACTCTTGCTTAAGAGTATTGCAGCAGTATCCTTCCAAGGATTTCAACCCACAACCCTTTGGTCAGGAGTCTATAGCCCTAATAACTATTCCACATTTTTCTAGGATGTTTATCAAGAGACGTTTTCTTTAAATATGAGTTATACTGCATATCTTGACATAGCCAAGCTTTTCTGTTCTTGTTTTACAGTGCACTTAGTAGGGCCTCTAGAAATAGAGGATGAAGGGGTGCCACTGAAAGGTTTTTAATAAAAAAAAGCATGGTGTTTCAGAGCACTTTCCTCATGTATGAAGAAAAGTATTTTTAATTGACATGCACAGCAGATCTAAAGCCCATTCTGTGGACCGTGTTGCCTCTGCCAGCTTTGGCAATGTGTGCATCCTAATGGGTGCTTGCACTGGTATATTCTTCTGCTTATGTGATTTAATTGCACTGCAGGAAGCAAAAGCTGCCGTGGAAGAGACCAGAGCCTTGCGCACCCGAATCCACCTCGCTGAAGCAGCCCAGAGGCAGGCTCGCGGGATGGAGATGGACTACGAAGAAGTCATCCACCTGCTGGAGGCAGAAATAGCCGAAATGAAATTGCAGCTCGCTGATCAGCCTACCCACGCTAAAGTATTTTAAACTTTCCTCTGTTTAAGCCCCATATCAGTCCCTGCTCCTGCCAGGCAGATCCATTCCCTTTTTTACTCATATCATGTTCCTTGTAAAGTAGGTCACTGTTTGCTTTGTATTATTCAGTAACTGGGATGATGTGCAATGAAGGGTTTAATGTGATCTTTGTGACGTCTATTTAGGCTGTTATTTTTAGGATTAAATAAAATTGACTAGCAACCTTATAGGTCATTGGAGCATAAAATGGTTCCTAAAGATTATTAATATTTGATTTTTATTTATATTATAATTTTAATATAGTTTGGATTTTGTCAGCAGAATCCTGTTTTTCCAGAAATGTGCTTTTGCGTTTTGTCCACTTTTTTAAGATCATAATGGATTGTAATATTTCAACTTTTGCATTGATCTATATACCAGTTGCATAAAGTCTTACTTCAGAGAGACTAACACAAAAAAAACCCTAAAAAAATCCTCTGCTTGTTCTGGTTATGGATTATTATATTGTTGCAAATATAACTTGTTTTCCTTAGAAAGGAAGTACTTTATACAGTATATAAATATGTAAATATAATTTTACTTTTAAAACAGCTTGTATGAGAAGCATGCAGTTGATACAAGGAGTTTTACATTTTATACATAATATTCTAATGTAAAAAATGCAATATATAGAATTGTATACATACAAACACTGTGTGCCTCTGATCTTATTTTTATACTTCTGATCTGATGTATAAAAAAATGCAAAAATGTCGTAAAGTTAAATTATTACCTTATTATCCTTAGAGCATGTAAGAGTATTCAGAGTATTTAGAGTGAGCTCAATTTCATATATGCCCAACATATTGTATTTGTTGTCACAATTATCTGGGTTTTTGCATTAAGTGACTGCAAAAGATGATTTGAAGACTTCCATAATCTTTCCATGTAGTGATGTTTTCCATGAAGATGTTTAGTTTATTATAAGGACACAAAAATCTCATGTCTTTAAATGAGTAAGTACAGTACGTGGTCATGGAATTCATTAAAAATGATGTTGTCATTTCAGGAAGAGACACAGGACCTTAAAAAGAGAATTGCTGTGCTGGAGTGTCAACTCCGAAAATCTGAAGGTGCTAAAAAGGGGTTTGAGGTGTCCACACAAAAGCTTCTGCACTTCGTAGAGGTAAATCAACACCTTCTTGATTTTAGATTAAGTGATGGCTGGTTTATACACTGAAAGTTGCATGACAGGAAGTTGGAGGAACACAGACTGTACAAACAAGTGGTAGAGGTGGATCTCAAATGGCTCAGCCCATTGAGTGCAGGTTGATTTCTGAGGTGCAGAAGAGTTTTTGAGTCAGGTTTCCATCACTATCTGGCTCTAACCAGGAATCCCCCCAAAATAAGATCAACTCCTGAGTTTGGGCAGTTTTGAGCCACAGAGGGTGTTCTTAACTAGTTGGGAGCCTTTGAGTTTGCTGTGCTATCACTGCCCAAGTCCTCCGTTCTCTTATAGCTGCTGTAGGCACTGTGAAGCTCTCAGTGTAAAAAGAGGCAGATGGCTCAATGCTGTCCTTTTGTGCATGTCATCCTCTTCGCTCCTAATCCAGTACAAGGGTGCTAGTGGTGAGTGCATGATTACAGATTTAACTGATTATTGGCATTTGGAGATTCTAACCTGTGTACAAAAAACTGAACTGTCACTTCAAAAATTTAAGAAAAAATACTGCCAATGTTTCAGAATGTTGGCACCCAGCTCTTGCTTCTGCTGTCAAGTGATGGGCCAAGTGCATAATGTCTGTATTAATAACACAGTGCTTTAATAATTCCAGTGTACTTCAATTATCTTACCAAAGACTAACCTGGAGAACTAAAAGGTTATAAAAACCTGGCTTGAAAGACAATGAAACTGCTGTGTCACCATCTACCTGAGTACCCTGTATACCCCTTTAATGTGTTTTTATTATGCTGTCAAAACAATTAAGTGTAAGCACAAATTGTCAAAAAGCATTCAAATCACCAAACGCAGCTAATATATTCCAAGCAATGTTGCAAGCTGTTAAATAGCTGCACATTCTTTATAATGAGAACTGAAGTGAAACATGACAGCTTTCTCCATCCCTCCTGTGCTCAAATTAAATCCCTCTACTGCAGAGCTGCAGGGGAAAAGTAACTGCAGGAGCCCTTTGAACCAGCAAGACTCCAGTCTCATGGTCTCCTTGACAGCTCTCCAAATTCCTGGGCAGAGGGGCCTTTTTTGTAAGCACCACTAGTAGTAAGCTCCAGAATTTTCAAAAGAGTTGAGGTAAATGACAATCTGCTATAAAGTAATATCATCTGCACATCTGTTTGTGTATTGTGTTGCATCAGGAATGTGTGATTCTGAAAAATAATACCCGTTTGTATTCTTTAAAGGCTTTAAAGGATTGTTCAAGTGAATGTCCACTTTTTATTTTTTGGGGTAATAAAAGTGATATTTTAAACCTGCTGTCCAGCTTTGGTGCTTTGCAAAGAGTACACACTAAAAGTGCTGGTGATCTGCATGATTATTAACATGTGTGAACCTAAACAGCATGCCTGCTTTAAAGTGAATCTCCCGCACCTGCATAAAACTGTGATAATTACAGTATATTGCTGATTCACTTGATTTGCTGATTCAAAAGTACAAGCATGCATCCAGGTTTTGATAAAATGCAATAGAATACATTGTGAAAGGAAATGTCATATCTTTGTTTCTGCTGTGCTGGATGGGAAAGTCCAGTTTATTTTTAAGGTTATTTTGTTGAGCTGCTGTAGCATGACATCTTTTCATATTTCATAATTCAACCTAAGGAAATGCATTGTATGGGTCTGAAGGTCTGTACTACACAGCAGATCAGGGAAAAAAGTGAGAATTTGCTTCACCAGCTGTATAAAGGCGGAATTTAACCCAACATTGGTAGTGTCAAGTACCAAGACAAAAAGGACAGGGATCCAGGTTTAAAGTGCTGTGAAACTACAGTTGCAGTAAGCTCATTCTGCCTTCAGAACATGGGTGCTGTTTTATTTCTAAAATTGACATACAAAAATAGCTGTATAAAGTAAATCACATAGACATTAATGGAGGCTGTTATATTTAACACTGCCTCTAAAGCCTGTATTTGACATTTTTGTCATATAGTCATTAGCTGTAAATAGGGACAAGGTGACACAACATTTCACTTATTTTGAATATTAAAAGGCCTCATGATAAATTAAACAAAACTAAAGTTGTAATGATCAGTCTATTTGTAAACATATTGTAAAAATGGTATAAGGTATCTATACTTAAGAATGTATACAAAAAATATATTTTCTTAGACAATTTACTGACTGACATGACTAGTGTGGAAATACAGTTTAATGACACAGCAAAACTGTAAATGATACAGTTTAAATGTCTGATTAAAATCCCATAATTATTGTGACATACACATTATTGATTATCTTATTTTATCTGCATCTCACAATTTACAACTTTATTTGTTCTGCAAATTAATGCAAATTTTTGAAAATTATTTGTTGTTTGTTTTCACAGGTCATGCAAGAGTTCCTTTCAGACCACCAAGGTTCTTTGACAAATTTTAGGTAAGAAATGCATAGATACTGTATTTATCTAGAAATTTAGACTAATCAAATTCCTGAATGGTTTATCGGTGATTTTTGTAAGGGCATGTTGATCTATTCAAGGTTAAATTGTTATTTTGCATCTCATCACTGGTAACATGCAATATACATCTTTAACATTTATTTTACTTTTTGAGATACTCCCCTGTTCAAAAAAAGTCATATGTCAACTGATAAAACATTATTACAGTATATTAAATTTTAGCAGGTTACTGAATTGCCTTTTAGGTTATTATGGGTAGATAAATAGTGTAAAATAACCTTCAGATACAATGTGCCATATGTATAAAATGAAAATGCTCACTCTAACTTGTTGCTAATAGCAACGTGTTATTGAACCTTCTGACAGCAGAAGCAGCTTCCACATTCCCCTGCGACACTTCTGGATCTGCTAGGCATCTTGGGTGTTATTTACTTTGTTGTAAAAGAGTGTCAAATTCTACAACACGGGCTTACTTCAGACTTTCTTGCAGAACCATAGGCATTTCAGCAGTGCAATGCATGCCTTTTTTGAAGTACACTTCAGCCATTTCAGAACTGAGATTTAGAAATACCTCTGAGGTGTTTTTTTCTTGGCACCAAATTTTTTATGCATCCTTGTAGGGAGCCATAGTTTGGAGCCGTAGCTTGTGTTAGCCTATAACAGTCTCCTGCAAAACCCTATGATATGCCCCATGATATGTCCATAATCACAGGAAACACTGTTTATCAAACCTCTTCAAAATCATCATCACATATGGCATGATGGCATAGTTCTGCTGCCTCACAGCTACTGGGTCCTGTGTTCAGGTCCAACCCATGGTGCTTTCTGCATTGGGTTTTCTCTGGGTGCTCTGGTTTTGACCCACAATCCAAAGAGATGCTCTCTAGATTAACTGGTGTTTCTAAATTGCCCCTCTGTATACAGTACATGTGTGTCCTCTGTAATGGGCAGACATGCTATCCAGAGTGTGTCCTACTGTCCACCCATTGTCTGCTAAGTTAGACTCTGGCTCTATGCAATCCTGTATTGGACTAAACAGTTATTGAAAATACTGTACATGGATTCGTTGAGATAATTATAAGAATGTAGCTATATGTAAAAAGAAGTTACAGTATAAAATCCATACTGTAGAAGTTCATTTTCAGACATATTTTTTACCACATTCTTGATGGTATTTGTTTTCAAACATTTAAAGTGTCTTTAATGGACAAATCCCTGTTTAAATACCTTGCTTTTGAAGGTGTGTTGATGGAAAAAACTACAGCATTTTTCCATTGCTTGCACAGGACAGCAGCTGCTTTACAGAAAGGTGTTTTCTCTACTTCAGTAAAACTGGGAAATTAAAGCAGTTTCTTTTGAAAGGTGTCATATCCTTGCATGCATTTGGCAGTGATTTTAACAAGTGCCAATTAGCTGGTACAGATGCTGCCTGCATGCCCTTATTAATTTCTCTCTGTCTTGATGATCCTGGCTCCTCTGATGGCATGAGAGATTTTATTAATCTGAGATTGTATAACGATGACCCTTGCAGATATAAAACTGATTAATGGTATAGTATTCCTAGACAACACTTTTCCAAATAGTTCTCTATTTAGTAAATTTAAGCATGTAAAAAAGGCAAACAAAACGTATAACTTTATTACTGAAAGGATCCAACATTTCAGGTACATCAGCAGATGTATAATCTAAAAGAACTAAATCTTTTTAGTCTTGAACAGAGAAGACCTTTTTTTTTAAAACAATGCATTGTTTGAATCTGACTTCTTTTAAGAAACAGCTTGATGAGATACTTGGACACCTAATTCCTAGCAACCAAATGAGTTAGACCGAATGGCCTCCTTTTCATTTATAATTTTCCTCAAACACTTTTACATGACTAAACAAAAAAATTAGGAATCCACAGTCAAATGATTAGACTCACAGTAATGACAGTGTATAGTTATCTTAAGCATCACGTGACAGATGTTCATCAGTTACCCTAGTCAGCTCAGTCCTCTAATCTCAATGAAATTTAACACCAATAGTATCTGCATCTCAATCCCACAACCCACTACCCTCATCACAACCTCAGATGTAGGAGATCCTACTAAAAGAACATCTGGGACAGGTTAGAATATTTCATAACCTTGTGGAATACACACAATATCTATTTGCAGTTGTTCTTGCTGCTTGTAGTGTAGTACATCAATCAGAAATCCCCTTCCTAATAGCAAGTTATAGACCCAGTACAGGAACATGCCCTTTTGTTTTCAAGAGATCTCTTCCTTTTACTCAGTGGAAGAGAAATGTAATTTGCAAGTGGTGTCTGGGACAATCATGTTTGGGGGTTTAAGGCCATATTGGGAAGAGTCAAATTTGTTCAATTTAGGGACACAACTGTTCAACTACAGTTATGATTCTATGAATTTGAGTGAAATTTGTTACGAGGGTGGCACAGTGTTTATCATTGCTGCAGGCAGCACTGGGGGCCTGGGTTCAATTCTGGACCTGGGTTACTACAGTACCTGCATAGTGTTTGTATATTCTCCCTGTGTTTGCGTGGGCTTCTTACCGGTATTCCAGTTTCCTCCCACGGTCTAAAAACCTACTGTTAGGTTAATTGGCTTCTGGAAAACCTGGCACTGGTGTGTGTGTGTGTTTATGTTTGTGTCTGTGTGTGCTCTGCGATAGACCGGCGCCCCATCCAGTGCGTATCGTGCCTTGTACTCATTACTTGCTCAGATAGGCTACAGCTTTCCATGACCCTGAAATAGATGATGGGGTTAGAAAATGGATGGATTAATGTTGCAGTGAAAGACATAAGTATTACTCAAAATGCAGTATTAGGAATAAGAATAGAAACACCTTTAGTTTACAACTCTTTTCAAATTGTACCCACTGCTGAGATGCAAGGCAATAAATCCAAATCTAGGGTTTGTTGACTTGAATATTTGTAACCACGGTCGTGTAAGACAAGTAAAAAAACAATGGAGATTATTTACAGAAGCATTTTGTCCTATTATAATATTCTAAGTTCAAGCCCCAATTTGGCAGTAATCGTTTGTGAATTTTGCAGGCAGTTCTATGATATTTATAAGGCCACATGCAGCTGAACACTGAATGTCCATGTGTACTCCTTTATATTCTGTACCTTTATATTCTGTACTCCTTTTATAATTTAGATTATTTTGCATTATAAAGGGTATTTATAACCACGTACAATTGTGTTCACACAGATGTTCTTAATTGTGTACTGAGCAAACAGTCTTCCAAAGCAACAAGTTTTAGCAACCAGTATAGTAGAGTATGAAGAATTTTTTCTAGCTCAAAATTGTTTTGCAATAAAGTGTCTAGACAAAAAAGAAAAGTCAGCAGAAATGAAAAGATTAATTAAGTATCTGCACACATATTTGCTTAATATGTTAATATAAATTAGATAGTTATTGTTTTGTTTTCTGGCTCTAATGAGTAAATTTGCACAGCAATTCAGAAGTTTACCAGCAAGATCAAACCCACATCAATATACAAATCAGTGCCTTCAGTATTCATTTCACTTTAAGATGCCAAGAATAGTTATCTGTGCAGATAGATTGCATCTTCCTCTAGAGGAAACAAAAAGACATCTTGATGTGTAGGTGGATCGGAACACAGTGCAGTATTAAATATAAACTAAAAGAGCACATTTTACTCCTGGCAAAAAAGGCTGTTTGAAAATGAGTGATTAAAAATATTGCCATTAATAGAAAATGTACTAATATTGGTTAGGAAATTACTAAATTGGTGGATTGTATTATTGCCAATGACTTTCTTTCCATTGTCTTTCTCAACTTTGCATTTTGGATGCGTTTGTCCAGCAAAGTCTGACTAGTATTTCATGTTACTATTTGATTGCTTAAGGTGCCGGTATTGCTCAGTATGCTTTCTCATTAGCTTATACTTTATATTTAAAAATAATTTATCTGAAAATGCTTAATCTGTTTTTTGTTTGCTCTGTGTTTCATTTGAAATAACTCAAGCAGCATACTGGTTTTGTCTTGCAGTTCTGCCAATGACCAAAAGATTGGCATGTCTTCCTCTTCCCAAGCGATAGCTACACGTTTTGGAAGAAAAGGCCCCTGGACAGTAACAGCACTTGCGTTAGAAGCCAGAGAACTTAGCAGATCTGTTAGAGCCATTCTTGAAGTAGATTGTAAGTGACTTGGCATTGCATGTTGTCTTACACTGCATGAAAAATATTCTTTAATTTTCTATAATGACATTGTGCAAAAATCTTTATATTTCTAAGAAAACCCTTTGGCCAAGCAGTAAGGTGGTGTACTGTTTAGACTTGTTTAATTTGTAAAAAGGATACAGTAAACAGCCATGTTTGCTGATTTTGAATAACTTATGAAAAGGAATTTTTTATCTATATGTGCTTGAGATTTTTGAGAGATTTCTATTATAAACAACTTGCTGGGAAGCTTCATTAGTACCTATTTCTTATGGTTCAACTGAAAAAAATAAATAAATGCAAGCTAAAATTATGTTTATTTTGTGTCATTCCTACTTCAAGGGTAGTTTTAAAAGGATTAAATGACAATTGTGTAGTGAAAGGAATTTTCATTCTCCATAATTGTTAAACATTGCTGGAGATGGAAGTTGACTACTGTATGTACATCTGTGATGGTATCAGTCTGCGGTTTCAGTTCAGCTGATTGAATGCAATGCATTTTTATTTGAATTTTGTCTAAGCATTTTAATTAGCATCTAGAACAATTAGGGTGAGTCATGTGGTTCAAAAATATGTATAGCTTTCAGGATGCATTTGAGCATGGAAATACTTTTTCAGGAACAGGAACTGTATTTTATAGTTTAAATATAAAGGTTTGTGGGATTGTTTTATAACCTGTTTAGATTTTGTTTCTGTTTTGAAGGTGGCTACTTTTTGATATTTTTGACAATGGCTTTACATTATTTTTAGTACTTAGCAGAGTAAGTTGCCGTGTGAAAATTCTTTCAATTTTCTGCTCATTTTCCCTCAGTAAGTAACTTGGTTCTGAAACATTCTTACTCTAATGCATTCTGTTTATAACTATGGATAAATATCGGTTGAATTCACAGCAAGTATGAACCCTACAGTTTATGTATTTTGGTGTTGGTATTCTTTCTTAAAAAGTGTGGATACATATTAAAGGGGCCCATTAATTCCAGGAAAAATCCATTCTTAGTTTAACATTTACTGGAAACTGAGGAAAGGAAACTCTTCATTTTAACTGTGACAATTAAATAAGGTAAGTTAAAAAATAACTGTTGATTTCAGTGGATATACTGCTTTAAAAGTAGGCCACCGAAGGAAGTACAATGCAAGGAGTATTTCAATAGGACAATTAGAAGGTTTATTGATTGAAATCATATCAGCAGGGGGAGCGTTGCTTAGATACAGCAGTGAATGTAAAACTGTCCCTCAGGTTCCTAATGTATTGAGGGTTAAGCTGTGAGCAAAGCTAAGGTCTTTTCAAAATCACACAGGCTTTTACTTGTTTGTTTTCAAATTAGGCCAAAGAAAGGCCACATTACAGAAAGGAATGTGTTTGTTAAGAAAAAAAAACTAGGCCAAGGATATGTAAGTAGTGCAGGTCTCTCCTTTTTTTCATTCCCCAGAGTCACGTAGCGGAAGCCTTGTTGATATTTGTTAAGCAAACTCAGTGTTTTTATGTTGGATGTTTTCTGCTGTTAAAGGCCAGCATGTAAATGATTTTTTTTCTGGCTTTTGGGGAAAAAAACTGCTTTTGTAGAAAATAAATGTTTTAAGTTATTTAAAAATGTTTTTGTAAAGCTGAATGTTGATAAAAATATTTGGTCTGGCATGTAGAAACAAGAACATACAGTAACATACCAAGGGACACATTAAAAAAATTCACAGGCTGATACTAATTAGGATTGCAATTAATATTTAAAATGGGACTAGTTTTTACATCAAACAAAAAGTTTAACTTTGAGAATCTAATCAAAGCTGAGCTTTAAAATTACATATTTATTTTCCATCACAGGACATGTAATTTACAACTCAAAATACATAAACTGTTGCTAGTAATCTTGTTCTGATTCTACTAGATAATGCTTTCTGAAAATGCCTTTCACTAAAACAGACTCAGATTTAGTGTGATAACACTTTTATTGAAGGATGCTTTAACTGGTCTCTATTTCCTTTTACTCATACTGTACTACATGTGTGTTTAATGCCTAAAGTGATATTAAGTAAATAAGTAAGCGTATTATTCTTTTCTTCTTGACAAAGGTCAGAAAAAGCATCTCAGACAAATTTGGTGCAGAAAATAAACTGCACTTCGGGTTTGAGGGTTCTCAGATCTGAAGACATTACATTACACTGGTCCTATGTTTCCTTTGTGGAGAAAGAAAGGTGTGCAGTTTTGCTGTTTTAGAATACTATATCTTTATGTCTGTATAATAAATGTGTATAAACTTAAGTTGTTAATATGAAAGTGGTGAAAGTTATATCAAATAAAGCACTCCATGTAAACGGGTTGTCTTTTTTTGTTACCAGTAGCTGATGTTGAGTAGTGATAGTGCTGTTCATATTGAATGTAAGAAGCTGTGATGTAGTGTACCTCTAGCTATTAGGATTGACAAAGTTCCACCTTTCAAACAATAAGACAGAAATTAAAGGGGATAATGTTTAAATAGATCTTTGGAAATTCAGCTGTCACCTTTTACTGCTGTAGTTCCTGAGGACATTACAATACAGTAACTGTTCACTACTGTGGTTGCTTGACCTGTGTGAGGACAGGATATGGGTAAGTGAACCCACATGAATTGAACTTGTTATCCTGCAGCTAAGTGAGCATAAAACTAAATTGCTTTTGCATTTATATGTAAAATGCCCTGTCAGTTATACAATTAAGTTAGAAAGCTGCCTTTGTTATGAGGAATTTTCTTGAAAAACGCATTATCCCACAAATTAGTAGTCTTTTAATCCTCTTGTTTTATACTGTATCAGCAGTACATTCTGGCTAGGGGAACATTTGCTGTCAAGTTGAAGTTTTCCCAGATATTTTTTCTATTTTATAGTAATGTAATGCCAACACTAAGAAATAGGATTGTGTGACAGTAGTATTTCTTTCCAGGATGCTGGCCTAGAATGATGAATTAAGTAGATCTGACAGGATGGGCAGTGTTTGTATAAATATGCATTTTTGTTTGAGAATAACCTGTTTCTTCCTCTTAACAGACAGGACAAATAAATCACACAATTGTGCAAGCAACATCACTCTGTACATGTTGTGCAAGAAAATTAAATGATCTTCAGATAGACCACAGATGTTCTGATGTGAGTTTCTTAACTCATTGGGAACCCTAATGAGGCTCCCTTATAAGGTCATCCAGTCATACAGTACATAGATTTTCTTTGATAGTGATTCTTGCATTTATTTCTATTCAATTGTTGGTTCACACGTCAAACATCCAGTGTTTGCAAGTGCTTATAAGACCAAAACACTTACAGTAGCGTGAACAGGAACTGTTCTGCACAGCATAAGAAAATATGTGATACTTTACACTGAATTAACACTAATATTACAAACGCACTGAAACCAGATACTTGGTAGTAGTGGGGTGAAAGTTTTAGACATAGAGTAGCCGATAATATTTCTGGGTCTATTCTTGATTATGTTCTCTAATTAAGTGATGCTTAATGAATTAAGGTAACTTATTAAATAAAGATGTGGAACATTATATCTAGAATTAGTGATGAAAAAGATAAAAGCAATTTCACAAATTTTATTTTCATTGATATATCTGTGCTTTGATCAGTAATGATTCAATTAGGAGAGTCTCAATACCACAATAATGTATTCACACTGAGGTCCTAACGAATAGAGATTTTTAAATTGTTTGAAACAGCTAATGTTATCTTAAGTGTGAGTGCTGTGTATTATGTTGTACCTTATTATATATAGCATCACGTTGACTGTATTATATGTCTCTATAGTAACTGGCTGATGTTCCTAGATGTCTCAATGATTGCTATTCTAAATGAACTGAAAGATGTTACCTTGTTTCAAAAACAATGTCCTATTATTGTGGTTTCTGCTGTATGGCAAAATGTGTAGTTTCGACATGATCTACAGTAGCTTGCATTAGCTTTGTTGTGCATGAGTGGCAAAATGTTTATGCACCAGTGAAGGTCAGTAGTTACCACTGGGGTTCCTGCTGCTATGTCAGATTTGAGTAGTTCTGTCAGAACAGGCAGGAAATTATCGCTGCCCTAAAAGCTGAGAAGAAACATATTTCTTTCAAATATTGTAAAGAGCATGGACCTGTTTTGTGCCTTTAGAAACATCATTACATTACACATTATTGCTAATTTTACAGATTTTGCTTTTTGTATAAGCCATTTTTTCTTTTCATTGTATTGCATTAGTTGTGGAAGTATTGTAGTATTTTTTGCAAAGCGTGTAATGTAAATCTGCATCTTTCCATCTGTCTTACAGTCTTAGGAATAACACATTTATAAAGAATACATTAAAAAAACAGATATACTGCACTATCTAGCCTACTAGATGTTTACACGTCTGGAAAACTGTAGTACTTATATATATGCTGTTAAGTAAAATGCACAGTTGCCATGTGAAACCACTATTTTGGTGAACATGGGGATATTGATAGTGAAGCTCAAAAAGCTGTAAAATATACAGTGATGAGGAGGGCAGATAGATCATCAGCATTTATATAGAAATTGATAATTTCAGACAAAAGAGAGGGATTCTGCTTTATTGACAAAAGTTAATAAAGAATACTTTTACATCACTGATGGTAAATATTATATTTCTCATGAAAAGGAAAGATGACAAAAACTAATGGCCATGTGAAATTAAATGAATCCCTTTTCAGTTTACGGCTCACTAATAGTGCATAAAAGTAGTGCAACAACTAGTTACATTCTTTTTAAGGGAAACTCTTGGCAAAACATGTTACACCTTTGTTTCCATGCCTTTAAAGTTATTCTTTGTGCCTTTAGTGATACAAAGGTTTTACCTTAGGGGTATAACTACAGGAATTAAGAACATAAGAAAATTTACAAACAAAAGACATTTGGCTCATTTGGTAGTTAGTACCTATTAGATCCAAGGATCTCATCTTTCTTGCGTCCCAGTTATTCAGCAGACTTTTGAACAGCTTGATAGTAGTTTT